TGTTTTCGACCCTGAAAAACTCACCTTTTCCATTAGCTCAGAGCATAAAACTACATATAAGAGCCCTGGTCCTTATTCCCTGTCTTATTCCCTGCCATCGCTGTGAAAAATCTGCAAGAGAATATGGCCACTCTCGCCATTTGATCAGGCAACGTGACAACATCAACGCGAGAGCCCCCGACATGTGCATGGATCCGTGCGATTGTCCCATATCACAGGTGCGCGCGAATCCCAAGACTTGCGGTCTCCGTCTCCGATTATGGCTCCTGATAATAGTTAAGTTATTTTGACCAAAATATCCTGTTCCTCGTCAAATTAAATCCGGAATTCTCAAGTTAACTATCAGAAGAGGCCAAAGCAACTTACCAATGTCTAGTTTTGTTAGCTGCGAAGAAAAAGGCTACTATCTTGTCGTTTCGGTAGGACAGCTCAGGGTTTTGACTGCGGCTCGTACTGCGGGCGCAGCCGCTGTATGCAAAGTCCCGACTGGTGCGACTGGTTGCCCCTGGGTCTCCGAGGATGCCCCAAAACGAACTGCTATGACTCCGTCTAGCTAGGCTATCAATCGTTAAAAATGAAATTAACTAGCCAGTTTCCTTGTCAGTATCACGTATTAATCTGTACCAACTTTTCAGTTCTTGTAACTGTAGTCAGGAAACAAATGCCGTAACAAATTGATAGAGCTTTGCTAGTACCAAGGCTCCGCCGGCTAAGAGTGACAGGCGGCTCTGGGGACTAGGAAATCGACAAAATCATCAATTTAATCTCGTTCCCAGATCTCTTGTCAGCTTGTGGACGAAGCCGAAGGCGAGATCTGGCCAAGTAAGAAAATTTCTTTTTCTTGATTGGCTGCTCAATTTGACTCCTGTCCAATCCCTTCTTTGAACGTTTACGCGGTTTTCTGCGACAAACTTGAATGTGTCAATGTTACAAATATGGCGCAGTCAGGGGAATTTGCAACATTTGACAAAAATTTCGTCCACAAGAGATCTGGGAACGAGATTATCATCAATTTGGAAGAAACACAACATGGACTTTTATGTGGACTACAGCTGTAAAGACAACAACGAAACAGGCAGAACCAAGCTTACTGTTTCTGACTTTGGTACCACAAGCATCAGAGATGTAAAGTACGCTATTCAGGCTGCCATTCAAGCACCAGTTTGCGATCAACAGCTGTTTTATCAGGGTCAACCAGTCACAGACGATGACATGACTCTCAGCAGATTGTATTTCCGAGAGGGTGACTGTTTTAAAGTGCAATTTCTTGCTGCAGTGGACATTGGAGGAATGACTGAGCTAGTGGACGTGCTGAAAAACTTTTCTCAAAACACTGTCGAAAAGCTCAATACACAGCCTCCAAACTGTACGCTTGCGACAGAAGACAACTCTGATGGCTCGAGCCTGTGGTTCTACGACGAGTACCTGCAGCTTGTCATTGCCATAGATAAGCTTTCCAATTCTTTTTTCATCCCATGGAAACAGTTAAAAACCGCTGCTCAAAGACACTTTTTCGTTCAAGAGGGGGGATTTGATGCATTTCTTGTGGTGTTTAAATTCTCACAGCGACTGAACTTGGTTGAGGATAGTATCAAGTGAGTTTTTTAATTGGATACCCACGTGATCATGCACCGATTACGTGACAAATAGAACCAATCACTATCGAGAATTTTGTTATTGATACGATTATTATTAATTATTATTATATGGCTGTGTCTCACAAGGACTGGGAACTACCGAATTCACGAATTTGATTGGCTGAAATCGATATTGACCGCAGTCTAGATTTT